CAGGAATTCGCATGATAAGGTGGGGCCAGGTTTCACAATGAACACACCCGAAACTCTGGGTGATTGGGACCCACGCCCAGTTTCCCACCTTGGCTTATATCTGGGACTCTCCACCATTTGACCTTAGAACTGAAGAAGCTTCTCGGATGAGAGGTGAAACGTCTTCAAGCAACTTAAAGAAGTCCAGGAGCTTAACCTTGTTTCAGATAGTAGATATTCCACAAGTCCCAGTGTACAAACAATAAGAATGATTTTGAACTGAGAATCGCACTTCTCTAGTTACTCTAGTAGAGTCCAGCAGTAAAAATATGAGCACAGTACGTCATCTATAACAGAAAGTAGTGAAGTAGCTAGTGAAGCTGATTGTGTGAGGCAGAAAATATCAACAGATCAGCTTCATCTTTGTTTCAGTGTTTATATACTCGATGCCTGGGTACACCTGTAGCATCAAGGAGCGGATGTTATACTCCAGCTGTAAGAACAGGCTACTGGACGAGGTGGAGAGAGACTACCAGCTGGAAGTCACTAAAAAGGTACAGCTCTCCCACAGAGACGGTGACAAATAATCTGTAGTACCACTGTCACTATGTAAACTGTCTAATGACTGTCTACTCTCCATATCTCCTTAGATGGAGATAGACAGTGGTGATGGTCTGACAGAAGACTTCCTGTATGAGGAGGTGCACCCCATGGAGCACACTTTAAAGCAGGCATTTGTCAAGCCCCGTGGCCCGGGAGGGAAAAGGGGCAACAAACGCCTCATCAAGGGTGCTGGAGAAAACGGGGAAGAAAATTAGACATTACACACATTTGCATAACACAAGCACACAACACGATATCTAAGAATTGACTTGTTATTTGATTTGAATTTATTCATGTCTAGTTTCTTAATCTAATCATTTTTTAAAGGGGATGCATCATCATCATGAAACTGTAAATTCTTGTTAAAAGTCATTTTAAATCATGCAGCAGACATTATAAAACTTACATTGCATTGTAGGTTTTCACTGTGCAGCCTCATCTCTGTGTAAAGCTCTAAAAATAGACAATAGCAACATACAATAACATGTAAAAGTCTTGGGCCACACGTCATTTCTTTAGATTTTGGTTGGAAGGAGTCAGGCTTTCTGCAGGTCTTTTATAGTTTTTTTGTTCTCTCAACACTGAATGCTTTTTCAGTTATTTTGCGTCCAGTCCTTGACCATTTTCAGGAGATTTTTTTTTTTACTTATTTGTTAAAACTCTTAACACTGACCTATGAATCATTTGAATCATTCAAATATATAATTCAAAAAACTTAAGGAGTAAAACAGTTTTGTTTTACAACAACAAAGAACTGATTTCTTTAGTTCAAATCTATGAAAGACGTCAGCTCAAATAGCCAAAATCTTGGCTTATCTCAACATAGTGTGCAGTGTGTCTGTAAAAATGCTGATAAAGCGGAACAAGTGGAGGATAAATGTGGCTTAAAAACTTCTTTAAAACTATCAACAGCAGATGAACAGTCTCTGAAATTCATGTCCTGAAGAAGTGGGAAAAAATCCAACAAAGACCTGAAACATGACCTGAGAAATGCATCTGGCCCTTCAGCTAACCCTTCTACTGTTCACTAAAACCTCATCACAAATGCTCTCAGTGGAGGGACGGGCATCAAGAAAGGATTCTTAAGGAAGGGACACAGGGAGAAAAGGCTGACATATGCCACATTACACAAGAACTGGACAAAAATCAGTGACAACAGGTCTAATGGAGTGATGAATGTAAGTGTAATATTTTGTTCAAATCATTGATACGTAGTAATGAACAGCATTATGTTTATTGTTATTGGACATGCATAAT